CCCCAAAACCCCAAAACCCCAAAACCCCGTGAAATAGCCTCACAAAAATATGTTTAGGGAATAAGAAGAAATATAGTATAATTTGTAAATATTTGATTAAAAATGGGAAATTAGTGTTGTGGGAACTAAGATCATAACCTTGGACCAGAAAAAAACTATAAAAGTGCCGCACTAAAGTCAATCACAACTCAGAAGTCAATTATTGCTCCTTAGACAAAAGATGCTGCACCTAGAAAGTAGAGCAATAAGAAAACAGACTGGGATTTCTAGCATAATGATATTTACAAGATAGCTGAGAAGAAGTGGCAAGATAAACTTGATGACCTTGAATACACATATGAATTGGAATTTGAAGGGGGCATGAAATACAAGGGATATCTTAAAGACGGAGTTAGACATGGTCCAGGAAGCTAGCTCTGGGCTAATAACGCCGAGTATCATGGAGAATGGCTTGAAGGCTTTGCTCATGGATATGGTCAGTTAAAGCATGCAGACGGAGATGTGTATCTTGGTGATTGGGTAAAGGATAAGGCAGAAGGGCAAGGCAGATATGCTCACACCGATGGTGCTACTTATGAAGGCTCCTGGATTGGTGACCAACAACATGGATTCGGAGTAGAAACTTGGAGTGATGGAGCTGTTTATAAAGGACAATATTAATAGGGAAAGAAACATGGGCATGGCTTGTTCAACTGGGCAGATGGTTCAGTCTATGATGGCGATTTCAGTGATAATAACATCCATGGTAAGGGAGAGTACAAATGGGCTGATGGAAGAGTCTATTTAGGTGCTTGGTAGAACAATAAAATGCAAGGAAGCGGCAAATTTACCTGGGATGACGGAAGATACTATGAAGGAGATTATAATGACGATAAAAAGGAGGGTTTCGGAAAGTTCGTTTGGCCTGATAAAAGATCTTACGAGGGATCTTGGCTGAATGGAAAGTAACACGGTGAAGGATTTTATACAACATCTGAGGGAACTGTTAAAAAGGGAATTTGGGCAGATGGAAAGCGTATTAAGTGGATTGAATACGATGTCCCTAGTAAATGATAAAATAATAACTAACCACATGAAATTTAATTTGGATTAAACTTTAGCTAACGAATTACTCTAAGTGTGAATCAATGAAAAGATTCACTGGACTTTAATTATTTCGAAATTCACTTTTCATCATTATTTTGATAATTTTAGACAATGGGGTTTTGGGGTTTTGGGGTTTTGGGG